AAAAGTTTCCAGGAAAAATATTTAATCTAAAAAATGCAAAATAAAATCATTCGGAAAAATTCCGTTCACCCGGGAATAGGGAAAAATACAATTTCCCCTTCTATAAGTAGAATAATTTAATTAATTAATTAATTATTGAATGGAATAACGAATTGGAATAACAAGAATTAATTAATTTCAATTAATTATTACTCTTTATTCTAATTCGAATAGCTAACATGGGTAAAAAGTTTCCAGGAAAAATATTTAATCTAAAAAATGCAAAATAAAATCATTCGGAAGAATTCAGTTCACCCGGGAAGAAGGAAAAATGCAATTTTCCCATCGATAAGTAGAATAGTTGAATTAATTAATAATTGAATTGAATAACGAGTTAGAATAACGAAAATTAATTAATTTCAATAAATTATTACTCGTTATACTAATTCGAATAGCTAACATAGGTAAAAAGTTTCCTAGAAAAATATTTAGTCTAAAGAACTCAAAAAAAAAAATCGTTCGGGAAAATTCTGTTCTCCCTGGGAAAGGGAAATACGCAATTTTCCCTTGTATAAGTAGAATAGTTGAATTAATTAATTATTGAATTGAATAACGAGAATTAATTAATGTCAGTCAATTTTTTCTCGTTATTCTAATTCGAATAGCTAACATAGGTAGAAAGTTTCCAGAAAAAATATTTAATCTAAAGAATGCAAAAAAAAACATTCGGAAAAATTCTGTTCTCCCGGGAATAGGGAAAAATACAATTTTCCCATCGATAAGTAGAATAGTTGAGTTAATTAATTATTGAGTTGAATAACGAGTTATAATAACGAAAATTAATTAATTGCAATCAATTATTACTCGTTATTCTAATTCGAATAGCTAACATAGGTAAAAAGTTTCCAGGAAAAATATTTAATCTAAAGAATGCAAAAAAAAAATCATTCGGCAAAATTCTGTTCTCTTGGGAATAGAGAAAAATACAATTTTCCCATCCATAAGTAGAATAGTTGAATTAATTAATTATTGAATTGAATAACGAGTTATAATAACGAAAATTAATTAATTTCAATTGATCATTACTCGTTATTCTAATTCAAATAGCTAACATATGTAAAAAGTTTCAAGTTTCCAGGAAAAATATTTAATCTAAAGAGTGCAAAAAAAAAAAAAAAAAACATTCGGAAAAATTCTGTTCTCCCTGGGAAAGGGAAAAATACATTTTTCCCATCTATAAGTAGAATAGTTGAATTAATTAATTATTGATTTGAATAACGAGTTAGAATAACGAAAATTAATTAATTTCAATCAATTATTACTCGTTATTCTAATTCGAATAGCTAACGTAGGTAAAAATTTTCCAGGAAAAATATTTAATCTAAAGAACGCAACAAAAAAAATCATTCGGGAAAATTCTGTTCTCCCGAAAATAGGGAAAAATACAATTCTCTCATCTATAAGTAGAATACAGAAGGAAAAAAAATAGCAAGCATAAACGATTTTTTCTATTTATTCCCATTCAGCGATGCATATTCGTTTGTAAGCCCTCCCTCTTCAACTTGAAAAACTTGTTCAATCGATAAATTCTTTTGGTACATCCTGAAAAGTGGAGATTCAGAGAGACAAAATTCGAAAAGGGTGCCGGGAGGAGTAAAGTAGTGAAGAACTTGCTAAGAAGAAGACAAGCTTAAGAAAAGGACAAAGCAGAAAATGGACACAAGGATTTCACGCGATTCCTTGAGGGGCAACTCTGACTTAAAACATCCAGAGAAAAGAACATAAAAAAGAAATTTCAGAATGTTCGAAAATGTATCCATTTGTATGTCTTTTTCATCCATTAATTCCAAGCCCCTCCCCGTTGGGAATATCACCCCTTTATACGAACATATAAGCTCTGTTCTTAATGTGTGACGGGTGTNAGGCGATTTTATGTGTTTTTCTTAAAATATTTAGTACCATTTCACATTCTTATGCTTCCTTTTATGTTTCTCCTATATGAAATAGTACACGATGGCTGGATCGTTTCCATCGCGCGCACCCAGCTCTCACCGACCACATTGCTGACGTAACATATCCGCAGTAGTAGACGGATCATGGATTTGAGTCCCCTTGCCGTCAGGCTAACCATCGAACGCTTTCATGGTTTTACTCTCCATGTAACGCCAATGCTGATAAGTTCCATCAAAATGTCCTCCACGGAAGCAAATTTCTCGAAATACTTTATCCAGGAGTTCTCTTGTCTCCTAGATTGTGTTCAAAATTACAAGGCTATGGAGTTGAACATTGGTAGTCTTAAACCCAAAAAAATGGGCCGGCTGTTGAACAACGGTTATAAAATAAAATGAAATTTATGCATTAATTTTGTTTTTCGAAACATTATGTATTTTTTAATTTCAAATATTGTTATTTTTAATTTTATAGATTCACAATGTAAAAGCATAACTATAAATAATTTTTTCTTTTTTTTGCAGCACTTGGAATTATTGTACATTGGCCTCAGAAAGTGCTAGAACTGCAACCCTCTTCTCGTTACCCAATAGACACCTGTGGCGAAGCCACGGCGGTGGAGCAGCGTCACCCACGTCACACAACCACAAACCCGTTTATAGGGTGGGTCACACTCACACAATCACACAGAAGAAAGGACATAAAACACAGAGAGAGAGAGAGAGAAAGAAACACCCATGCCCTGAACGGGAATCGAACCCGCAACCATCAGCTCCGCAGTCAGGCACGCTAACCACTCGACCACCTGGTTGGCAAAATCTATTTGTTATTAACTTCATTAAGACTTCTACTCCTAAATGACTCCCTAAGCTCATATTTCTTCTATTTCAAGAGATTTTAAAAACTTAAATTTGAGACACTATAAAATTTAATTGTACTATGCTTTATGTAACACAAGAATATTATTCAGTACAAACACGATTAATGCTTTTACTCTTTTAAACTATCATTACACATTTTTACCCTTTCAAGAAATTCTCAAAATATGCAAATTCCTGATACAATAAAATTGCCAATCAATATGAAAGATTGTAGGGATTGAACAGTAAAATACTATTTGTTAAAAAAAACTCTACAATGACTTTAAGTTATCCTAAAGACCACATTTTTTGTTCTATCAAAAGATTTTCACTGTGCATAGATTTATCATACTATAAAATCTCTATATCTTGATTAAACAATAAAATACTTTTACTCCTTTAAATTATCGAATAAACCCATTTTTTGTATTTTACTAGAGATTTTAAACATCTGTAGATTTGAGATAATATTGCCAATATATATAGTATTTATATATAACACCAAAATGCAATTCAGTGTAAACTCTATTAGCACTTTTAATTTTTTAAACTACAGTAAAGATGTCCAATTTTTCCTTGTAAGAGATTTTCAATACATGTAAATTGAGGATACAGTGAAATTGCTAATCTAACATAAAGATTATGATTCGAGATACAATAAAACTACTAATCCACGAAAAATGTGCATTCAAAAATAAAATATATTATTTATTGTTGTTGTAGTAGGCCATTAAGGCATTGGGAGGAGCGATTGTTATTGTTTTCCAGTATCGCCATCTCTGTCCAAGAATTTAATTTCTGCCACACCCATACATCACACCCGTTTATAGGGCGGACCCATTCATACATCAAAAAATCGTAATTTTGATCTGAACCAGAGAACAATCAATCTAAAATTCAGTACCCTCAGAGGTATAAATTGTAGTAATAACATGGAGGACTTTGTGACCCAACATATTTAACGTGCACCAGTCACCATTTACTACGCGTGGAGTCTTCGCCCTGCTGAATTCGAGCTCCCATTCTCACAAACTTGAGTCCAATTCCCTACTAACCATATATATTATAAAATGATTTTAACAATTTTACTCCTTTAAATCAATATACAATTAAATATTTTTGCTTCCCTCTCAAAAGACTTATAAAGTTGAGATACAAAGAAAGTGCAAATTTTTTTTAAAAAAAAGTCATGTAGATTGATCTATTAAATAGTATTCATCATGAAAGTTATTAACTGTTTTACTCCTTTGAATTATCATACAACCTCATATTTTTGCTTCTCTGTCTAAAGACTTTTAACATGTGCAGATTTGTGATGAAAGAAAACTGTTAATCTTCATAAAAAAATCATCGAAATTGAACAATAATATGCTTTTGATTATAAAATTTATTAACACTTCTAACTCTTTAAATTAGCAGCACGACCCAAATATTCAATATATTTTCAACAATTTGAATATATTTTATTTATATTACTATAAAATAGCCAATCTATCTTTATTTGCATTTTCAATCAATCATGTAAATTAAATAGTACTATATGAATGATTATAAACTTTTTAAACCCTGATTCCCATTTTTAAGTCCTTTAAAAATATGTGATATTTATGTAATTTTAATAAAAACTTTAGCAAAAATACGAAATGTGAAATGACCCATTTATAACAGAGACGTCCAAATTATATTTGAAGCCCCCTGGATTTTTTAAAAAATTTTTATTTTTATTTTATTTTTATTTATTTTTTTGTACTTGACACGGAAAGAGCTTCTGTAACAACTTAAAACAAACTTTGCTATGTTACTTATTTTTCACCAAAATGAAAATAGTTTGTGTTAAAGCAATTATTTTTTATTATTTCAAGCTTAAAAACAATAAATAGATGGTGCTTAACAATTTATTAACCGGATGATTAACTGAAGCAAAAAACAGCGCAAGTGAAAGAACGAAAATGGACATTTTATTGTGTATAATGTTTGTAAGTACATCAATGGACATACTATTGTATTGTCTTACTTGTTAAATGATTAATTGTTTTTATTTTATATGAAATTGAATTTAGATTTTGTGATTTAATAATAATAATTTTTATACTTTTTGTTTTCCACATTTGATATTTATCTCCCTATTATTTATCTAAGATAAGAGTAAATTTTAATTATTTACTTATAGTGGGGATTTTTAATATATGGATTTCCTTTTATTTTTTCCAGGTAAACGATTTAAATCTGTGAGATCGTGATCTGTGTAAGATTTAAATCAAGAAAATACATTTCATTGACAGATGTTAGCTAAAATTTTGGGGAATGAAATAAGAATGAAGAATTTACTCATTCGTGATTGCATTAAGGTTGATGAATCATCAGCCTGGATGATGAATTATCTGGCTGGTGAATTAAATTGAGGCTGATGAATCAGCTCGAAGCTTGTGATAGCCAAGCAACTTAGATTCCTGTAATTCAAGAACTTAAGAACAAAAGTGATGTTTTAAAAAAATCAGTTATGAAATAAAGAGAAGATGACGATTTTTTAATAACTACCGTTTAAAAAAAATCCGAAGCTTAAAAAAATCACATGTTGAGTGATATTGTGAAAATATCTGTCATGGAACAAAAAAATCAAGAAGCTTACAACAGCCTACCAATTTAAATTTCCTAAACTCATGGGCTTAAGAACATGTTACGTGGTATTTTAAAAAGTCAGTTATAGAACTAAAATAACAAGAAGTTTTCGATTTCGCTACAGCATAAGTTTCTAAAATTTCAGAGCTTAAGGGGAGAACGTGTTAAATATTCTGAGAAATGGATTTAGGAAACGAAAACATTCAAATACTTGCAATATCCAAACAACTAAGGTTTCAAAAATTTAGGAGCTTAAGGAAAGCATTAATATCACATGTTAAGTGATATATTGAAAAAAAATAGTTATGGAGCGAAAACACCGTGAAATTTATAATATCCAAGCAATTTAGAATTTTGAGGTATTTTGGAGAAATATTTTGAGAATATTTTGAGTGATATTTTGAGAAAATCTACTATTATAGAAAGGAGATACGAAGAAGCTCATGATATCTTAGTAATTTTGACTTTAAAAGCTTAAGAGCATAAAAAAACAACATGTTAAGTGATGTATTGAAATAATTTGTTATTTTAAGAAGACAATACGAAACTCATGGTATCCTAGTGACTTAGACTTTCAAAATCTAAAGATATAAAGTAACAATGTGTTAAGTGTGCATTGAGAAAATCAGTTGTGAAAAGAAAATACTGAGAGCTACTTAGAAAACTATCTTTCTCAGTTAGGAACACAAAAAACATGGCAAAATAAATTTATGCTTCCGTACTTACGACAGACCATAACAATACTTCTAAAACTGATAAAATGAGTTTTTTTTAAATGTGTTGTTTAATATGTTTTTTCACAGAGCTCTTCAATTGTCTAAGTATTTTGAACTCATATAGTTACGTTGAAATAAAGAGTGCCTTTTATAAGCAATCATAGAAATATATTTTTAAAAAGAAAGTTTTTTGTACAGACAACAGAAAAATCATCGAATATATCGACTTTATTCTAAGTTACGATTCTCTTAATCCGAAGAGCCAACTAAAGGTATGTTTATTAAAAACTTCAAATTACAATCAAAATAAGTTGAAATAAACACAAAACAATGTATTAGAAAATTTTCCCATTAAATTCAGATTCAGCAGCAGTAGCACAATGTATTTAACTGAAATTTTACGAAGAAGCTGTAATAATTTCAAATGTATAATAACAAGATTTTCATTCATTAAAAGATTTTAAAGAATTGTGGTGTAATTTCAATATTTTTTTTATTCCTTTTGCATTCTATTTTATTTACTTATTTATATTTCTTGTTTAATTTCCGCAGCCCTATCGGTTGAAATATTTCTGAATAATAATCAGAAACTCTGAGAGAAAATTTCGTGTTCTCTTACATGAATTTGCTGCAATAATTGTTTCCTTAACTTTAAATATTTTCCTGTTATAAATTTTTGAAAACTGTGAACAGCCTATATAAACTGATGCAAATTTTTATTGAAAAATATAATCCCATTTTATTTTTGAAATTCTGATAAAATTTTTCGCTCAAAAATTTAAGCAATTTTAAAAAAACGAAAACTTGACTTTAGAAGAGAGTCAAAACTTTCAATTCCATAAGCTTGTAAGTCCCTGGTTTCAAAGCCAAATGAAATGTTTACGCTTCCTAAACACTTCGCCTCCTTTCTCTTGATAACGCCAAAGATTTACGAAAGCAAAATAGCTCAGCAAATATTCGAAAAAGATGTTCGATCCGAACACAATACGAAAGAAAAAAACTGTTGGAGAAAGGCATTCGTTTCTGCGAAGGGGAATGAAAATCTCTGAAAAGCAAAAGATTTCTCTAATCGATTTTGCTCGAAATTTCTTTTCCCACCCCCTGGACGTTTGTTTAACTGGCTAGCTTTTTTTCTATATATGTATATGTATATAACCTATTCCTTGCGATCTCGAATGACCAGTTCACAGTTCTTTCGTCTCCTCTTTCCATCCTCTTACAATCCCATGGATGCCTAAGATCAGCATCCTCCTCCACACCTCGTAGCACATTCAGATTGCTGTGTATTCATGCGCGGTGGGCTCATTCTTCAAATTCCTTCACTGGACTCTTTTCTTACGCTTTCTCCCCCATATTCCATCCCCTTTTATGGTCAAAAGAGCACGTGACCTGGGACGAGAGGAGGTGGGAAAATCGAAAAAAAGAAAGTTCGAAGGATGGAGAAAGAGACAGAGAGAACCATTATCCGTAACGGTTTGGCGTAGACCATTTTAGTCTTCAGACATTCCCTTCTGCTCCAGCGATTCCTCTGGTCAGCTTCCACCAAACGATCGCTCACGTGCTCACCACCACGTGAAGTAAAATTCACTCCCTCCCTTCCATTCGTTCGATTTATTCGTACCCCCATACCTCACCTACCCCTTACTTGGTCTTGGCGATTTCCAATTCGAAACTTTTTTGTTTATTTTTTTTAGAAACCCAGTATCTACCACTTTTTTATTTATATTATTTAATGTTTAAATTCTAGTATTATAAGAAGAATGGCAATATATGCGTTCCCGTCCGAAGGTCCAATCCCTAGATTTTGTTCTTTTCTTCTTTTTCTTTTCTTTTTTTCTTCTTTCTCTTACGGTAAGGTGAAGATGCTCCTTCGATTATTGAGCGCTTTCCCTCTTCTTTTTTTATTTCATTTTTGTCAACTTTTTCAATTCTGTGAGTGAAATTTTAACTTTTCTGATTTTTGTTCTGCTTTGTACCAAAAACGGAATTGTGAGAATTTTATTGATCGAAAAAGTTCGCTCTCAGAATTTCAATACAAGTAATCTTTTATAGATATTTTTGGGATAGACAAATGGCAGCAGTGTTTGGTATCTACATATTTAAAAATATCCATATACATTTTTTGAGAATTAAAATATTTTCTATCTTTGACCTATAAAATACATTTAAAAAAAAACATATATTTTTAGATTGGATTTAGTAACTCTTTTTCAACAGGTTTCTAAAGAATCTTTTTTAGGACATCTTAACAGAAAAAAAACTTAACCTTACTTTTTGTTTAAACTTTTTTAAATCTTTATTTTCCAAACTTATCTTAATTCTTCAAGACATTCTTTAGATATACACGGGTTTCACTAACCCAAAGTAGTCTAGTGATCTTTACTCTTTTTTTTTGCACCAAACCTAGTTTATTACATTATTGAATTTTCATACCTTGTTTATGCAATTTCATTTATGTTTGGCGCAGTATAGCTACTTCTGGCTGCTATAACATTAAGATCCATATTTATTAAATTCATTTATTACGTTTCTTGGGCTATTTTTGTAAAAGTTTTTCATTCTTGTAAGTGTATGATAGAAATCACTTTAGGCGATAATTCTTTTTAATAAATACCGGTTCCACACTACGATGCTTTCTAGTGATCTGACTTCCTTTTATTTTGTTTCATCTCTATTTTGAAAATAAAGTTAAAACACTCTTTGGTTTATGGACAATAAGTAAATAATGGCGATTAATTTGTCGCAGTATAGCTACTTCTGGCTGGTATAGCATGATGATCCATATTTATCACATTCATTCATTACGTTTCTTGATCTATTTTTGCTAAAAGTTTTCATTTGAGTTTGTGTTTGTTAGAAATCACTTTAGGAGATAATTATTTTAAGTAAAGATGCGTTTCACGATGCTTTCTAATCATTTTACTTCTTTTTTTTTTGTTTAATCTCTATTTTGAAAATACTTTAAGTTTTAACACTCTTTGATTTATTGACAATGAGTAAATTATGCCACTTAAGTTTGGCGCAGTATTGCCGCTTTCAGATCTTGTGCCATTAAACTATACATTCAATCAATGTTTCAAACTAAATACGATACGATTGTCTACAAATTGGTCATGAGTCAAGCATACAAACCTAATAATTTATGTTGCAAATAAATAAATTTATAAAACAAGAATTTTTAAACTTATTTCTCATGTTAATTAATATTAGCTTGATGTTGTGCTAATTCATATGATTAATATAAGCTAAGTATTAATTTGTAAACCAAGCACTATTTTTACTTAAAAAAGTTGTTGCGTTTTCCTTCAAATCACTAATATTCTTCAATAAACTCTTTATAAAAGAATGTAAATTTTTCTGTCGCAATTTATGAATTTCTACTTTAAGCTATCAGTGCAGAACAACCGGTGAACAGATTCTAGAATTTTCGAGAAATATACACATTCTAGAATACCATTATAGCAAGAGATGGCGTAGGATGGTAAGAGACTAAGATTTAAAAATTCAACGAAAAATGTCTTAAGTTCGTACCACGAAATAGCAAAGAAAAGTGATCTTATGAAACTTAAGATACAATTATTTAACTTTTCTCAGTTCATTATTTTATTCATTTAATTACTAAGGCAGCTACTATTCTCGCAACAGCCCACTGTCTGTAGGGGTGTCACGGGGATAAAGGATCAACGATTTCGTGCCCAATTAGATGATTGTGGGAAAGTAGTCAGCACTTTAAAAAGGCCACCTATACTTCCCAGACAAACTGGCACCCATCGATTTAAAGCTGGGTAGGCTTCAAGCCATCACTGGGAATCGAACCTGTCAGTTCTACACAAGGACAGTGCGGTGCCTTAACCACTAAGCCATCCTGGATATATTGCAAAGGAATACGAGCCGAATTACTCGATTAAAGCTACTAAGATTCGATCCTCGATGGCTGCTTGGAAGTCTACCCTACTTGAGATCTGTGGGTACCAACTGATCTAAGAAGTAAAATCAGCATTGCTCGCAGTACTGACTACATTGTCACAATCATACCCTCGATCTCAAAATTGTGAATCCTCAACCTTCATGTCTCTCCTGGCTCACAACGGGCTGTAGCGGAAATGCTTTACTTCGGTAAGTGTTACTTTGCTAAATGTTAGAAAATCATTATAGAAATATAAAATCATTAGATGTCTTGAAGAGAAAGGTGATCAGTTTGAGGCTCTTTTGGCTACCTAATTCTGTTAATCCAAAAGCCTACTAAACACTCTTATTGCGTCTACCAACTATGATCTAAAGTATTGTCAACACTTAAGTTGATAACCCCATTACCTATCTTCCATGACACACAGATGTGTTCATCTTTTTGCCAATTTAGGTCTTTGATCGAATTCAGAATTGAATCACGATCACCTGCAATTTAAAAAGAATTATTTAAATTCAAAGGATCCCAACGAAAAGTAGCTTTGAAGAATAAGAAGAAAAAAAATCACAATTGTGGGGAAAATGATAAGTAACTACTAATCAATAAAAATACAACTATTATTAACTAAAATATGT